TGGAGGATGGAGACCCCAGCGACCGGACCCGGAGACCCAGCTCAGGAGTCACAGCCGGTTCTGGCCAGTGGGAGGACAATGGGCTGCGAAGAGACGGGACCCCAGTGACCGGACCAGCCGGTTCCAGCCCGAGGGGGCCAGAGGACAGAAGAGGGGAGAGGAGGCCCCAGTTTACGGCCCTGTTTACCTGGAGAGAAGACAATGGACAACGGTGGGGCCTGGGGCCGGGGATCTCTGATGCCCAGCTGCGAGCAGGGGGGCTCTGGGCTGGAGAGGGGGAGCAGGCAGAGCCCACCTGGATGCAGAGAGACTGGGATGTGCTGGGCTGCGGGAGGCCAGGCCTGAGGCCCTGAGAGTTTCCTGTGCTGTGTTCAACTCTCAATAAACCCTCATGTGTTACACTGGCTGAGAGTCGCTCCGGGCTAGAGAACAGGGTTGCGTCAACCCCTTCGGGGGTGGAGGCCCCAGGGGTCCAGAGCGAGGGAACTCCCTGAGGGGGCCCACGGCAGAGACAGACGTGCTAAGGCTCAGAGAGGTGCGGCTCCAGGAGGTGGAGGGGCCTGACCCCGGGAGAGAGTGGACCCCCGAGAAGGGCTGTCGCACTGAAAGGGGCACCCCCCACGGACCGCACGGGGCCAAGAGTGGGCACGATCTGTGAGTCCGTGACAACAGGACACTGGGCTGGATGGACCTTTGGTCTGACCCAGTCTGGCCACTCTTATGTTCACTGTTAGCTTCAATGGTAGAGGGCTGTTTTCTGGTACTGCAGGACCTGACTTCAAAGCCTGCTAATGCCCCATTGTGGGGAGGAGTCGTTGCAAATTACGGTTCTGTTATTGTCACAACTAGAGCAGAGCAAATTGGGGAATTAGCGACCAGTGAATATTTGTTTCATTTTTTTCCCTGCAAATATCCACAAAATGGAGAGTCACTAGCACAGAAACATGTCAATGTGAAATTTAAGTTTGAACATTCCTCAGAAGCAAAATTCAAACTGTATGTTCAACTGGCCCATTCCCAGTGTGCACTGGCCGGGTTAGCTCTGCGAGCCACGTGGCCCATTCCCAGTGTGCACTGGCCGGGTTAGCTCTGCGAGCCACGTGGACCAGGAGCAGAACAGCACCACGGGACCCGTGGAACAAATTACCAGTAGGAACTATTCCCAAGCCGCTAATGCTCTGCAGAGCCAGGGTCACTGGCTGGGGCTGTTTACAAAGAATTGCCCCTCGTGAATCAATCCCAGAAACGGGCTGGCTGGTCACGGACAAGAGGAACGGCCACGTTCAGACTCATTCACTGTGACTCGTGCTCAGCTGCAGTCAGGCCTCAAGGGTGACCCACCAGCCATGGGGTGAAGTGACATGGTCAGCCCAGTGCCCCTTGTTCCTGCTCCAATTGAAGCCAGGGGCAAAAGTCCCCTTGCAGCCCTCAGCCCGTCCCCGGGCAAAACCTCCACACAAGTCAAGGAGCCATTTGCCTGAGGATCCAGCCCCTCTAACAAACTCTCCAATGTGTTGCACATCCCAGCGCCGGGCATGGTGCTCTAGGAACCAGGGATGAGCTCCATGGACACAGAGCTAATGATCAGCATTGTCAGCCTGGTCTCTGAGGCCCCCGTCGGTCCCCTCCAAGCCACCCAAAATGCTGCCAACAAAGTCACCTTGGCGGCCTGTCAATCCAACCGCCTTGTCAGCCTCTGCCAATAGTCATCAGGTCCCTTCGCTGCCCGCAGCAAGTGTACACGGCCTGCGCCCCCCTGCAAGGCCCGACGCCTTGAGCTGTATGAGCAGAGCTCCTGGTGCATTCCCGCTCCTCTCTTCCCAGCCTCCCTTCCCTGCCCCCTAGGCGGCTCCGAATCAGCCCGAAGCTTCCTGGCCATCACGCCCCTCCCGGGCTGGTCCCTGTTAGAACAGTTGCAGTGGTGAGTTCAAACAAGCTCCCTACAACCCCCGACTACAGAGGCACTGAAACGGATTGAAATCAATGTAACTTAAATCCACACGTGACCCAAATAAACTCAACTGATTTCAGAGATTTCGCCCGGAACCAGCAAGTCTCTACAACGGGGCTGGAACATTCGTTTTGCTCTCCCCCACCCCCCGGGCATGGGGCTGAGCGCTCCCCAGGGGCAGGGCAGAGTCCAAAGGAACCAGCTTCCCCCCAGAAAACTCCTTCCCATCCTGCCGAGCATTGATTCTACCTGCCTGGGATTGGCTCGTGTGTGGCTGATGCTGGTGTGCCGCACAGCCACCTTTGGAACAAGTGGGGGGGGGGGGGATTCCCCATCACTGACCATTTGTCAATCAGGCCTGGCTGGGGTAACAGCTCTGCTCTGGGGATGGGGGGGGGGCAGTTCTCTGGCCTGCCCTATACAGGGGATTGGACACGATTCTTTCTGGTCTTGGCATCTCTGCCATTGCTGGCCTGTCTGCGGCTTATGGGCTGGTATTCCCCCCCCTCCCCCCGGTTACTGTTCAGTGTGTTTGAAGCACAAACATTTAGTGACCCCCCCCCCTTCATTGTCTAGAAACTCGGCTACCTTCACCCCAGCCCCCCCTTTCGGCCCCGGACTGATCAGCGCTTCCCAGCCTGTCCCCCCGCGGGGTCCAGAGGTTGTTAGCACCGGCTAGAAACCGGTCCGACCCGCTCCCTGTTCGCTGCGCCGCCGGGTTAATGATTAAGGCGCAGAGGCAGGTGGATCCCCAGGCGGGTCTCACCCTGCCCCCGGAGGCGATGAAGGGGTCTCCCCCGCCCAGAGCTACCCGCCGCCGGCCAGGGAACCGCTGAGCCGCTGGCAGGAGCCGCAGGGAAACTGAAAGCAGGCTCCGGGCTGGAGAAAGACCCACGCCCCGGGGAAGATGCACACGGCGGGTTGCTCCCCTCCTGCTCCGGGCTCGGACACGCTGGGGCGGCAGCCGTTTCACACCCGTTCCCAGGGGCCGCGCCCCGCTCCAGGAACCCAGCCCCGGGAGAGAAACATGGGGACACGCCGCGCTGAGGCCCGGATCGGGCTCCTGGGAACGCCGCTAGTCCCGAGGGGAGCAAAGGGAACGGACACCCCCCCCCCGGTGGTTCTCAGTGTGAACGGCCCCAGATGCGCTGCCCGGGGGGCTGGGCCCCCCTGCGGGGAGCTAGAGCGGGGGGGGGGTTCCCGCTGGCTCCGGGCAGGGAGCCCAGGTCTGAACCACGCTGCGGACAAGCAGCCCCGTCCCTCCTCCGCTGGCGGGCCGGTGCTGGCCCTGCAGACCCCCGGCCAGGGTGGGGGGCAGATCGCGGGCGCTGGGGGGGACCAGCTGGGAGCTGCTCCCCCTGCCCCTCACTCCTGAGCCCGGGCGCCACGAACCGACCTACCCACATTCCCGGGAAATCCGAGATTTGGCTGCGAGTGAAACCTGCGTCAGGGAGTGGCGGAGAGCCCCGCGCACCGAATAACCCCGAGGCGGCCGGGCCCGTTCACACGGGGACCAGGAGCAAAGCCCGGAGCCGGGGGAGGAATGGGCAAGGCGTGTGCCGGCCGGGCGCTGGATAGACGCGGGGGGGGGGGGGGCAGACCGAGATCATTAACAGTTCGCTTCGAGTTTGGGGGGCTGCGGTCGGTTGACCGGGCCAGGGACCGGCTGGGGAGCGAGGCTGGAAAGTGGGTTCCCGGTAGGTGAGGTTTTGGGAGCGGAAACCCCCGAATTTCCCGCCGCTGCCTCCTGAAAAGCTTTGTTTTAATTAGAAACGAAAGTCCGGACTTTGGGTCCCGGAGCCTGGCGGGGGCAGGTGCTGAAGCCAGTGCGGGGTCCGAGCGAGGCTGCCAGGCCCTGGGCCAATGGCCCGGTGCGGCGCAGGACGCTGTTAGTGCGCAGTAATGCAGGGATCGAAATGTCCCGTGCGGGGCGCCTCGCGGGTCTCTTCCCGCTCCTGCCTCGTGTTCGAACAGCGGGACCCCCCCGGGAGCAAAGAGCGGGGGGGTCTTCGCAACCCCGCCCCGGCGGTCGTTTCAGTCTTTACGCAGAAA